GAGAGAGAGAGAGAGAGAGAGAGAGCGAGAGAGTACCTGAGTGCAGATGTCCACTAACTCTCTGTAGGCAGCAGGACTTTGGGACACTAAACTGCCGATAGCAGAGCTGAGGAAGGACAGGAAGGCGGAGCCTGTGCGATCGCTCATAGAGCCACGCCCCATTCCCTGCTGGTCCATGCCTGTGTGGACACGCCCCCCCGCTGCCAGACACATCAGCCGCACCAGGATACGGATGTCAGCCAGACCCAGAGCCTCCAGACCACTGGACTGATTACACACTGAACTACTGAAACATATGGTGACAGACACACAATGTGTATATTTATATTTGTACATCCGATATGGATTTAAAAAAAAAAAAAAAAGAAGGGCTTGCAGTCGATTGTAAAAAAAAGGGGCGAGGTTTAAACTGGCTAAATGACTGGAGAAGTGCACCATATACACCACAAGAAAGAAGTCTGTTGTTTCAATAGAAATTAATTTGATTAAAGATTACGAGGACAAAAAAATTAAACATATGCATAAATCAGGGGTGCCCAAACTCGGTCCTGGAGGGCCGGTGTCCTGAAGAGTTTAGCTCCAACCCCAGTTAAACACACCTGAACCAGCTAATCAAGCTCTTATAGGCATACTAGAAACTTGAAGGCAGGTGTGTTGAGGCAAGTTGGAGCTAAACTCTGCAGGACACCGGCCCTCCAGGACCGAGTTTGGGCACCCCTGGCATAAATTAATCGTTAACAATAAGATGCAATGACAGTTAATTTCCATTTCATGTTGACTTGAACTCCTCATTAATACAGTATTCATTAAAATTATTTATAATTGACAAAAACACAAAACAGACTTTTTCCCACAAAATTATTTACATCAAGTTTGATAAATGTTTAATATTCTGCTTTTTTAAAGTTTCTGAAAAATAAAATAATCATTTGAACACAAAATCAGTCAGATCATAACAGTAATACATTTTACGGTTTCAAATACAAAATAACGGACTTTTTCCCAACAAAATTTTTTAAATCAAATTTAAATATTCTATGTATTTTTTATTTTCTATTTCGTTCTTTCTTTTTTTTTTTTGTTTTTGAACATTAAAATAATAATTTTAATACAAAATCAGTCAGGAAATCAACAGAAATTTTGGATTTGTGTGAAAAAAAGTATTATTGTGGGGTAAAATCTGAAAAATTCTGTGGAATTCATTTAGATATATTAACCATATACCATCTAGTAACCATGTTAAACTATGCTGAGAACTACACTCTTACTGGAAGCAGAAAAAAAAAATAAATAAATAAATAAAACGAATGCAAAATTTTGATCTGTGAGTTTTTTTGTTAGTTTGTTTTTTGAGGAAAAGTCTTAGTGAAAAAAACAACTGTAAAATGACAGTTATCACAGTATCAGATTCATTGTGAAGGAGATTACATAAAAGAATTTGACATTTTCAATATTCCCTGAATAGCTAGTGTGTGTTTTTCTTATAGCTTATATAAACCTTTATAGCTATATAAACCTATATATATATATATATATATATATATATTTATTTATTTA